CTCTCTCTCTCTCTCTCTCTCTCTCTCTCTCTCTCTCTCTCACACACACAGATAAACAAGCTCAAAAAATACAGCAGTGTAAATGCAGCTTGTCACATGCTATAGCAGACATATGGAAAGCTACACCAAGGCCTTTTCATGCCTCGACACACACACACACACACATAAACACACACAGATAGGATTTCATTGCACATGATTGCCATCTCGTGGTGGGAGTTACCATCTCATTAGGGGTAAAACACTCCACCTTCACTGTGACGTGCAGCCAGGAAAGACATTTCACAGCCAATAAAAACTAATTTTCTGTTTTAATTAAGGACTTGTCAGAATTTGTTTGCTGACTTTAGATGTTGAAAAGCAGGCTTAGGTTTAAAACACTAAAACTACCAAATACTACTTTCCCACAACTGCAATTTTATCCCATTAAACAATGTGTGCACCCATGTTTTAGTGTGACTCTGTCCTGCAGTGTTGAGTTTGGCCTGCAATCATATCTTGATAAATGCTGACATCTAGTGGCTCAAACCAAAAAGCTGGAACTGTCGCACAAGTGACTAAAGTTGTCAGCACTAACAGCTACTTCACAAAAACAACAAAATCAGAAGCTAATTATATTTTATACAGCTCTAGACAAATTAAAATGTACTCTTTTATGTCAATTTTCGTCTATAAAAACTTTTGCTTAAGATCACAAAATGTTCAGGGATATTAATTCTGTGCAGTAAGACAAAATGTTCTCAAAAACACCAATGAATGTATAAGAATMAATATGAGTTGTAATTTTAAAATGCTGTTAAAATATGACAGCCTGTCTGTGATTTTCCTTAATAAATAAAATATACAAATAAATATGACTTCATCCTTGGTTAGACTGCACATGAAACCTGTTTTTTTTTTTAATTATGGAGAAAATAAAGGAGCATTCACTAAAACTGAAAAACTGCAGCATGCAAAGTTGTCCAAACAAATCCAAAGAAAATTATTAGGTTACTCACCGCTTAACGTTCAATGACTTTCTCATTCCTGTCATCATCCTCTCATTCCACTGTAGCATAAAAAGAAGAGCTGCTCTGATCCAGTCCAGGACGCAGGGTCTCCACAGAGTGCTACTGAAGTCCAGCACTTTTTTATTTATTTATTTTTGTCTCGAGAGAAACTCTTGTGCACTTTAGGAGATGAGTAAACTCCGCTGCAGGCAGAGAAGCAGCCGTGACCTGCACAATCGCACATGACAGTGAGAGATCATCAGCGCGGGCTGATGAAGCGAAGAAGCAACAAGGACTCACCTGTTTTCCCTCCTCCTGTCTTCAGGCAGAGCGCGGAGAAATCCTCGCTTTTCCTCTTTTCACCTCTTCAGAGATCGTCTGTTTGTTCAGCTCCCATCTCTGCACTTGACCAATCCACTCTATCAGCTCCAC